TATCATGATATGCAATGCTTCTAATTGTAATCATCACGTCATCACCAATGATATCCCAGGAAATCTTGTAATGGACAGAAGTATAACCTTTGACAATTTCATGGCCATAAATAGACGGGCAGACTGAATGAAGTATGCGACGGAATGTATCAGAACCATATTCTTCTTTGAACTTCACAATAAATTCCAAGTCTCTCTGTGAGAATGAATATAAGTCACCAACATCTGCAGACTGGGCACTGCTACTAGAGTCTTCTGAGTTCTCAAATGCAGATTGTCGCTTGGTGTTTTTCACTGAAACTGCCTCGATAAACAAAAAGTAAAATCCTTGATTCTTGGTCTTCGATTTCCCTGAAACAGGAGCATTTTAAATGTTTGTTAAGTCTGAGTATGGCTTAACACCAGTAATGAGGCTTTTAGCTCCTGATCTTTGGTAAAATGTCATTATGAGTAAACAAACAACTTAGAATAGCAGTGTTCTATTTTACTTTCCTGCAATGAGATGCCCAAAAACCATGGAAAAGAATTTTAAGAGACAAATTTCCAGCTATTCTATGGGTGAGGATAGCAGGCGTTTGGGCATGGTAATGTTTGCAAATTATGGACACAACAAGGATGGAGAGAGCGCCATGAAAAGTTATAGATCAATACCTCCCCCAATATCCATGTAATTATTAATTACTCCTATAATCCCTGTAACTGTCACCACATCACCAGGGATACATGTGTCCACAAGGTCTTCCATCAGCTCACATTCTACAGTTCGGGGTACCCGTCCTTCTTCGTGGTCTTCAGGCTTTTGCAACTCCTGTACCCTAAAATAAAATTTGGACAGCTGCTAACAATGGCAAGATACATAACTAACAAAGATGAAGTACACAAAATGATAACGCAAATAGGAGAACACCTGATTTTCTGAAAGTCAATTGTCTGAGCAGAGGACCGGATTGGAGTAAACGTTTTGGACTTGCATCCATGGGCGTCACATTTTAGTGGAGGTGAAAACTTTCCATCAGAAAATTCCCGGGTTATGCTAGTTTTGCACTTTCCACAGTCAAAAGCCATCTGTGTGACAAGGGGCTTCACAGTACTAACTTTAACAACAGTGCCATGAACTGTTACAAGCTTTCCTGCAATTTCAAAGCACTCACTCATGCTACATTTCACTTAAGGTTTTAAATCTTATTATTCATTCCGCCAAATGAGACAGTCTACCAATATAAGCCGCTCTGAGGTTTTTCAGGGAGATAGAAGATTCAGGATAATTATGCAGACGAACACTGATCTTCATGCCATTCTCAAACTCATTAGTCTCCCATTGACCTAAAAGAAGCTGTGAAAGATAATATAAGTCTTCATCTTATGCCAACCAAGAAAAAAAACCCAATGAAATTTAATACACTACCTTGTGAACAGCAGCATTCATACATGGGATAACTCCTTTGGGATTATCCTCGAGATTTATGAAAAAGTTCTCGATATCGGATATTTTCTTGAATTGTTGGAGATCAAGCGACAAAGAGAAGGAACCACCACCTTCGTCATTCACCTGTTTCCCATTTTGTGTCAATTCTCTCATGCAATGAAAGATATTTATGAACTGTTCTCCTATTTTTAGATACTAAGAAAACTAATTGACGTATAGAGAAGTTGATTAATCGTGCTCTATCTACCCTAATTCTTCATAGAATTAGAGCGGAAGCGAAATCTAGCTAAATAGATTATAATTTTATGCCGGAATTTAATTTCGAATCTAGAGCTTTGTAAAATTTCGATTCATAAAAAATTTACCAGAATTTGATGCAATTGAGGTTATAAGCTCTAATTTGATGGTGGCCAAGTAGTTAGCATACCTGAGAAACTAGGTCTCTACCAGGTGAGGTGGAGAATACGCGGATAAGCTCCGCCGTGAGCAGCAACTTATCCTCATCAATGGCCAAGTTCTCGTTGTCCTTAAAATATACAGCTAATACTTTCCCGATGCCGAAAGAATCAATTCCGGTTAATTCACGGCGACCCGATGTCATGCTTCCACCGTCGTTGCCGCCTCCGTAAAATCCCATCACCGCTTAAACCACCGTAACACTCGCTCGTCACTCACATAGAAAATCTCGTTTTGGCCAATGGTTTTTGGCGGGAAAAAAAGTAAAGGGCTTTTTGTTATGGGTTTTTGGTAAGTGGGCCAAATGATTTGAACCCTAAAACCCAGAGAAAGGATAAAATCATTTAATAAAGCTTTAGTTGTCCGCCACGTGGACTGTACCGCACAAAAAAAGTCACAACAACAGCAACAAAAAAAAACCCCAAAACGAGAAACCCGTTTCTGGTTAGATTTGACGTCTTCGTTTACTTCATTCAAGAAACTAGCTCCCGCCGCCGGAAAATTCGCTATTTGTCACGACCGTCACCGGAGGTTTGTTGCGAGCAGCTTCTCTCTCTTTCTTTCTTCACCTGTAGGTTCTGTTATTTGTTTTGTTGGGAAATGAACTGAAGCAAATTTCTGATGATTACCATTTTCTCCGTTCTTCTAGGGTTTTGTTTTGGTACTGCTTATGTCGACGGAATCAGAACGTGTTGAATCAGTCTCAGAGGCTAGTGCGTCGAGGTTTGAGGTTGGAAATGATCAAATGTCTGAAACCCTAGCTGGTCAAGCTCAGGAGCTGAAAACATATGGAGATGATAAAGAAGGATGCGGCAACTTAGCTTCAGCTGGTGATAATGGGATGGAGAAAGTAAATGGATTTACTGATCTGGAGAAGGAAACGGAATCTGTAAATGGAGGGTTAGATCTAGGCACTGGAACCGAAAATGTAGGTGGAGAGAGTAACGAAAGTGAGAACAAGGTCCTAGTAGATAGCGAAGAGGTATTGATGGTAGAGGGTGAAAAAGATTCTGCTGGGATGGAAAGGGAGCTTTTGATTGAGAAGGAAGTGGAACCTGACATGGTCTGTTCTCATGGCGCTGATCTCAGGGATGTGAAGGTTTCTGATAGTGAAGACCTTGGTGAGGATAGAAAACTCGATGGCTTAGAAAAGCAAGGAACAAAAGTTGAGGATTTGGATGTTGTATGTTTTATGGGTTTAGAACCGCATGAGAGCAAGGATAGAAGTATTTTGGATGATGATAATTTCCTTGTAACTGCGAAGGTGAAGATCTCTGACTCAGATTTGGTTTGGGCTAAAGTAAGGAGCCATCCGTGGTGGCCTGGACAGGTGTTTGATGCCTCGGCTGCAACAGACAAGGCGAAGAAGTATTTCAAGAAAGGAAGTTTCTTAGTAACTTATTTTGGAGATTGCACCTTTGCTTGGAACGATGCGTCACGGGTAAAGCCTTTTCGACAGCACTTCTCCCAAATGGCAAAGCAGAGTAGTCTACCTGATTTTATTGATGCTATTGATTTTGCTTTAGAAGAGGTATCAAGACGGATAGAGTTTGGTTTAGCTTGTTCTTGTATCTCAGAGGAAGTCTATCAGAAGATCAAGACTCAGAATATAATCAATCCTGGAATCCGAGAAGATTCAAGCACAATACACGGTGGAGACAAGGTCTCAAGTGCAGTCTTCTTTGAACCTGCAGACCTTGTGGGATATGTGAAGCGTTTAGCATGCTCTCCTATCTATGATGCTACTGATGCGCTGCAGCTTGTAAGTCAGAGAGCACAATTATTAGCTTTTAATCGCTGGAAAGGCTACACTGACCTCCCTGAGTTTGTGACACTCCAGGGGTCAGTAGAGTCTGCACCCAAGATTTCTCCTGCAGAAGAGAAAAGTAGCTTAGTGGAAGTCTCTGATCTTGAACCGAAAAAGAGTAAACAAGTTTATACTAAAAGAAGAAAGACAGAAGTCCAAGATGACTGTAAACACGATGGAGTGTTTGAATATGAAGAAACTACTGTTCCAAAGAAAAAGGAGAAAACTTTGGCAGAGTTCATTGCTGAGAAACGCTTAAGCAGACATAATAGGAACACATCACATGAAAATTCTGGTAAAGTTCCGCATTGCGAAAAGAAACGCAAGGTTGTGCAGTCAAAAGTTCCCAAATCCACGAAAAAGATTAAGGAAAACCTGCAAACAGAGGATCCAGGATCACCAATTTCTCACAAAAATGATCGAAAAAACAGTCTGTCTGCAGGTGATAAGATAACACCAGAGAAAGCTAGAAAAAGTTTCGGAATTGGGGCAAGCATATTGAAAGTAGCAAACCAGATGCATTGTTCAACACCTACAAGACTCATACCTTGCAGTGATTCGACCTCCAAAAAGGCAGCCAAGAGCAATGGCAATGGAAAAAGTCTTCAGGAGAAACCTAAAGCCGAAGCATTATCTGCAAGAGAGATTTCTCCTTCAACTAATGAAACACTTTCAAGCCCTCACGCTGCTTCTGTTACCAAAACCCCAAGTGGGAAATCCAATTCCATCAGCGTAGACCACCAACTATCCGGAGAACTTGAACAGGTCATAAAGGAAGCTCCTAGTACTAACCTTGTGGAGGACCCGATGTTGGAGTCTAGGGACTTGAAAGACTCTGCTAAAGAGCAGATGGTACATGAGGATAAGAAAGAAGCTGCAAATATTGCGGATGAGAAAACTATTATTAAGGACAGCAATCTAATTGGGGAGAAAATCAGTGGCTTGGACTTGAAACAGCAGCCAAACAAGAACTGCTCTGATAGTTCCAAGGAAGATGTATCTGCAGAGTAGGAAGGCTCAGCATCAGCGCCTAACCCACTAATACAGATTTTTTAAAAATCGTGTCCGGTTCTTGTTAGTACTTAGTACCCAAGAGTGGAATATACCTTGTAGCTGACTTCTCTCTTTCGAAGTTTAGAATTGTATGATTTGATCAGAGTTGAACAAACAAGTGAGAGAATGTTACAAAGTTATTTTTGTTTCCAGATTTGTGCAATATAATGATCAAGATTTCATTTGAATCCAAAACAAATTATGAATTTGAATAAAAGAATACATGAGGGTAATTTGAATCCAAATTCCAAAACAAACGAATCAAAAACAAGATTAAACTCAACTCCTCGTACAATGAGGAAAATAGAATAAGAGATATCACTGAATCTTGAAGTAAAACATAAAAATGTCTTCAAATATCAAAAAAATCCATAAACAAAAGCTTGAGCAGTAGTAGAGCTCAAGACCTAGGCTTCTCCTTCTTTTCCTTGAAAAGGGCCAAGAGTGAGACACCAGAGACCTTCACCACTTTGAACCTAACTCCGGGAATATCACCGACAGCATGACCTTTACGCCCAAATCCAGCAATCAACACCTCGTCCTACACACAACATCAATGAGTCAAGAGATTGGACAAATTAGTAAGAATATAATTGCTACTCAAAGTAGTTGTCATCTAACTTACATTTTCTTCAATGTAGTTCAAACAACCATCATTGGGGACAAAGGCAGCAATCTTTTTACCATTCTTGATCAACTGAACTCTAGCACACTTACGGATAGCAGAGTTAGGCTGCTTAGCCTCAATACCACTGCATAATCAAACAAAAGAGTCTCATCAAAGTCAAGATCTATACTACTAACAAAATCAACAAAACGGTAAATATAAATATGTTTATACAAACATACATTTTCTCAAGAACGATTCCTTTAGCGTGAGAAGAACAAGCAAAAGGCTTCTTCCACTCGTTGCCCTGGCGAGACTTCTTGTAATACTTGTCGGCCCACTTCTGATTAATCCGGTGCCTCTTCAGCTTGCGCCCAGCTCCCATACCACGTGGCTTACTTAAGATATTCAAAAAAAAGATATAAGAAATTGAGAAACCAAGGGACATTTCATCAGATGCCCAGAAAATCAAATACGTAACATATAAAACAAATTCGGAGTTGACAGAGAACATAAAGTCAGAATCTAAATATACAAATACTTTCAGCTTTGGCAAACACAAGAGCAGTGGCGGACCCAGAAATATATTTTACCAGGGTCACAAAAAAAATTAGTGATTTTAGATAATGTGAATCATGTACTTTATTACGGAAATATATTACACAAACATTTAATATATTAGAAAAAAATTAAGTTTTTTCATAATCAACAAAAAGTTATACTAAATCCTAAAATTGATATAGCGATTTTCGAGACTAAGAAAAAAATAAACATAATTATAAATAAAAAATACCAAAACAGTCAGTTTGGGGAGTCGAACATGGGTACAAAGGGTTTCAAAACACAGATTCTAGCCAAATATGCTATACAGACTTTAGACTTTTCTATGCATTCACACATTTTTTAATAATTTGACCAGGTCAGGTGACCTCCCCATTTCCTTAGTGGGTCCGCCCTTGCACAAGAGGAGAGACAGTAGTAAGGACAAAATCAATAATCATAATCTTAATTTCCACATTTCAGACAAATAACTCCAACATTTATAACGAATTTTTGCAACTTCGTAGATTCAACATGGTAATTAACAAAACATTCGAAACAAATACGAGTTTCGTTAATCCCACAGAACTCAGTGGTGAATATGAAACAAGTCCTGCCACACAATGTATGTTTCAAATCCACCGGAATAAAAAGAAACAACAAATCCTAAACGCGAAATAACAAAAACACAATCGCTTATACGGAGAGATGAGATTGAACACAAAGAATCTATGAAAGGAAACCGTACCCCATATTGACGACGGCGCGAGAGACAAAGTAGAGAGATGAGCTGAAACTGCTAAAGGCGCGACCTTTTAAGTTGTTGAGATTGAGAAACCCTAATGTTGAGGATACTTATATAGGCATGGGTCAACCCTCCTGGTTAGGCATTAACCGGTCTGCAATAATATTAATTAATACGACTAATGATTATTTTTATATTTAGTTTATTATATTTGGGCCTATCATGAAGGCCCATCCATCACATGTTATTAACCCAAATATTATGCTAACTCCTTAAGGTATTCGCTACATTAAACATTCCACTTTTCCAGTCCTAGTCACGTGCACGGTGCACCTACTAGCCCACGACTCCCACACTATCCGCCACGTCAGCAAGCCCCTTCCTCCTGTAAGCGAAACCGGTTGTAGCAGGTAAAAGGCACACAAAGCTAAGCATAAGGAAGCGCACGACACGCACCGGTTCAGCCGGTACTCTGCGTCAATAAACGACATGCACGACCGTCCATTTTCTTAAAAGGGCGATCTTGATCTGACGGTCGTTATTTGTTTATTCAACCGGTAAAATACAAAAAAAAGAAAAGGATCGTCAATGGCGGACTGGAGTAAATTTCTTTGACAATAAACCAGTCCAAAATCAAGGAAAAATATTGAAGAAGATAGATTGGTGACGATGATGATCAACGACGTCTAAGCTGTTTCTGCGTCATTTGGTAAGAGAAACTTTTGTCTCTTTCGATTTCTCTAATGCAAAACAAATAAAAAGAGAGATTTTGATTCGTTATTGAAATTATTCTCTTTGGGTTTTTTAATTTATTTAGAAAGAAGTAATTTTTAAAATAGAAAAAAGTGAGCTTGAAGATCACGCTTGTAAAGGTGTCAGTTTGCAGCTCATTCTCGCCATGTTCTTCTCTCTCGCGCTCTTTGTGTTTTCTTCTCTTTGCTCATAAACACCACTTTTAATGTATGTCCAGGTCTTCTTCTTCTTGCTCTGAAGAGTTGTTTCGTACTTGGGATTTAGGGATTTCGTTTTGACAATGGAGGAGATGCCAAGAGGAGTGCCTACGTGGCAAGACGAGTTTGCTAGTCTCATGGACGGAGGTTTACAATACGACGGATCTCCGATTGATCTGACGGCGGATAATGAATCAAGGTCAAAGAGTTCGGGTTTCGGGTCGGGTTCTGGATCCGAATCAGTGGAGAGTTTGAAGGATCAAGTGACGGGGTTTATCAAGTCTTGGGGAGAAATGCTTTTGGATCTCGCAATCGGATGCAAAGACGTTGTGCAGCAGATGGTGGTGACGGAAGACTCTTTCGTTGTGCGTAAGCTCCGGAAACCAGCTGCTAAGGTTTCTAAGAAGCTTAGCTTCCTTAACGACTACTTGCCTGAGGATCGTGATCCTGTTCATGCTTGGCCTGTGATTTTCTTCGTCTTCCTCCTAGCTCTCACAGGTATATGATCAAACAGTTATGTGGTTTTGGATCACCATTTTGATATATTTGCAATGCCACAGTTATTCGAAATGTCTGCTAGAAAACTGTGTATTGGGATGAGTCTTTTAGAAATTTCTGGTGTTGTTGTAATATAGTTATCTTGATTCTTCTTATATGTTCGTTTAAGTGGCAGTCTTGATTAGGTTCTCTTTGGTGTAAGAGAAGCTTGTATCCTTTCTCTGACATATCTAACTTTTTAAGTGCAGCATTGAGTTTTTGTTCAGACCATGATAGATCTGTCCCAGTGTTGAAGAAAATCCGTCTGCATCCTACCAGTGCAAGCCGTGTACTGCTTCCAGATGGTAGATATTTAGCTTACCAGGAGCTTGGTGTTTCAGCTGACAGAGCTAGACACTCTCTAATTGTTCCTCATTCTTTTCTTTCCTCTCGGCTTGCAGGTATGATCAAATAAGCTCGATTTTTTTCTAATGTTTGACATCTGATTTGCCTCTAATGTTTCAACATGATCTTATTAAGGTATACCCGGAGTAAAAGAATCATTGCTCAAGGACTATGGTGTCCGTCTAGTGTCATATGATCTTCCAGGGTTTGGAGAGAGTGATCCCCATCGTGCTCGGAACCTTAGCTCATCAGCCTCGGATATGATTGACTTAGCTGCTGCTCTCGGGATTGTTGACAAGTTCTGGTTACTCGGCTATTCCACTGGTAGTGTTCATGTCTGGGCTGCAATGAGATACTTTCCGGACCAAATAGCTGGTACCTTCCATTTTTTGGATAAAATTTGAATGCATATCATTCCACAATTCATGGTTTTTCACATTGTGATAGTTTCAAAGAATGACACAAAATAATATGGAAAGATTGTGTTTTTATCAATCTACAGGAGTTGCCATGGTAGCGCCTATGATAAATCCATATGAGCCAAGCATGACAAAGGAAGAGATTGCAAAAACGTGGGAGCAGTGGCAACGAAAGAGGAAATTCATGTACTTCTTAGCACTTCGGTGGCCAAGTCTTCTTCCTTTCTCATATCGCAGGTCCTTTCTCTCCGGTAATCTCGAGCCGCTGGATAAGTGGATGTCAATGTCATTAGGAGAAAAGGTAAGTCTGTATTCATTAAGTGTCTCTTCCCAAGGTTTTGGGTCTTTGTGATTTCTCACAAGCTAAACCTGTAAATGCCACTTTTCCATTTCAGGACAAACTTGTAATCACAGATCCAGTTTTTGAAGATCTTTACCAAAGGAACGTGGAGGAGTCTGTACGGCAAGGAACTGCAAAACCATTTGTCGAAGAAGCCGGGTTACAGGTCTCAAATTGGGGCTTTAGTCTTCCCGAATTCCACATGCAGAAGAAGTGTAGAACCAATGGCGTCCTCTCTTGGCTAATGTCAATGTACAGCGAATCCGAATGTGAACTTATTGGGTTCCGGAAACCCGTACACATATGGCAGGTTTGTTGAAATCACACTTAAAACCGCCATCTACGTGATCACCTTTGTCGAGTTGTGAGTTACTCATTTTGGTTGTGGTCACATAGGGTATGGACGACCGAGTCAGTCCACCTTCAGTGACTGATTACATTAGCCGGGTCATACCAGAAGCATCTGTACATAGACTCCCAAACGAAGGCCACTTCTCTTACTTCTATTTCTGTGATGAGTGCCACAAGCAGATCTTTTCGGCCATATTTGGAGAACCAAGGGGCTCGGTAGAGTTATCCGAACAAAGAACGGAAACCCATAAACCGGATCAACCAAAGACAGGTCTATCTGACAGTAGCACTACCAAGGAGTAAGTAAACAGGTTATAAAAGAATATAGAAACACGTTGTTCTTGGTCTTCGTTCCATCATGGAGAAACGTGTAAATAACACCAAGAGTCAAGAGATGCTTTCGTTCTTTTTTTGGTTGAAGTTTCAGATTTTATAGGTAACTAAGTTTAGTTCATTTTGAGATCACATTTAGCACTAATAAGAGTGCAAGTGAAAGAACATTTTATTGAAGCAGCTATCTATTAATTGGAAATGCAATTTTACTTCTTGTTTGAATAGTTTTCGGATTCATTGTCTAAAAAATTGAATCTAACCAATCAGACTTTTCTGTAGAATTGAATCTAAGAGAAACAGTCGATACAATTCCACCAGTCAAAAAGAAACTAGAAAAATTATGATCCATGGACATAAATAATACACAATCTTGGTTCGGACCAGCAATGCAGAATGAAGAACATGCTTCACTTTTGTCTGAACAGCTGAAAACTATGTAAAGCCTAATTATCACCCATTAACAAGAAGCTACTCTGAAGTTTATACTCTCTTCCCTCGCGAAAGAGTATCTCTATAGAAACGGCCTTGCAAACTGGCTGCTTCGCCTCGGTAAAAAGCACTGACCAAAGACAGCTTGGTGGTAGATTCAGCAAGCAATGCCTGAGCGCCCATATGGTTATTATGGATATTACAGTTCATTGGGAATGCACCAAAAGACCCAATAGCTTGTTCAGATTGTTTCTATAATCAGGTCACAACCCTCACTCTCAAGTGTCTGTTTAGCTCAATACCTTCGGCATATTGGCAAGAAGAGTGAGTTCTTCAAAACCCTCTTGTAAACACGCGCTGAAACAGTGAACATAACACCTGTCATTACGTTATCTAACTCGACTAGTTGTAAAGCCAGCAATTTCAAAAAGCACAGAAAAGTTAAATACTAATGTGTTTCCCATTTTGGTTATAACGTATAAAATTACACAATTAGATCCACTCTTTGGTCGTGGTAGAATCTACTCATAGATACTTGATTGAAAATCCCAACAATTGATTTGGAACCTAATGTAAGATGGTTTATGAGATTCTTGACTTACCTAAAAAACGTCTGACCAGCTTGGCTGACTGTGAAGAATCCATGCTGATTCTCCCGATATTACAATGTTCCACTAGAATGGGCAGAATTCCTCATTCATATTGAGAGTAGTTCCCACTGCAGGTAAGCATTAGGCATAAACTGAACAGAACAGAACATTGCATATCTCATATTCTCAGTGGAGACGGCGGTGCAGAGACAAGGAGAAGTAACAAGTCAGTACTTGTTATTCAAACTTGCTACTTCCAGTGTTCCTTATGGGTTTGGCTGAAGAGCAAGTCAGTACTTTCTTAAATCGACTTTTCCATTATCTGCAGAAACAAACCAATAAACAATTGTTATACCAGTATTTTGGTTGATCCTGAAAAGTAAAAAATGAGATATATTGTACGATGCTCTGTTTAGTTGCCTAATACTTACCCGCACTCGCTTCCTACTTCTCCTTATTTCTGCAATACTGTCTCCATACTCTTCACCGTGTTTGCTTTCATCAGCTTCACAAACATTACTAAGTCCGTTATCCAAATATGAACAAATCTCAGAGAGTCGTACACCACATCCTTTTATTTTGCAAAGAGAGTCAGTAGTGAAAGTAATCTCTATATCTACTCGATCGTAGTTCAGTTCAGCTAGAGCATCAATGTCTTTGTTTAGAGGAAAACAACAGTCAAAGATAACCAGATGGTTATCCATCTGACGCGGTAAATCAATGGCAAGGTGACAATCAGTGGAATCAAAGGAGCTCCCATCTTTTCTTGTGACGTGACAACATATCCACCTAGGGGTGAAGGAATTAGCTTCATGGGTATCAACCGCGATGCAAACCCTAAATCCGAAAAATTGTTGAGAGAGAGATCTCTGAAGTAGACAGATAGCCAGAGTGCTTCCGGTAGCTCGGTTGGTGAAATATAAAGGGACTTCTCTACCTGGTAAAATCAGGTACTTAAAAACTGATTGTTGAACGAGAGCTTCTTGATCTAATTTGAAGCAGTTGATGAAATTGAGCACTGGTAACTTAGTGTAAATATTGTTTCCTCCCGTTGCTACAGCACTTGGACCGTCAAGCCAGCTAGCAGAAGTCAATGCCTCACAATTTGAAAAGTCAACCTTCTCGAGAAGTTTAAGTTTGGAAATCTTGGGGGATATATATCTTAATCTTTTGCATTCCCGCATTTCTAGGCATATGAGCCTAGAGAAGTTCTCGATCCACCAAGGAACTTCTTTAATAGCTGTTTGGTTTAGAATGAGAAATGAGACGTTCTTTGAGATATAAGGAAAACCCCAAAACCGTGAGCATCCACCGAGATCAAGCCGATACAAAGATTCGAGGTTGATGCCGGCAGAAAGAGCAACTAGCTCTGAGCAAGTTTGCATATATAATTCATTGAGATTCCGAAGAGAAGAAGGAAGTTCCACCCTATCCTCAGGGTATGCAGATGACTGAACAAAAAAAAAAACTTAAAGTTACTGATCATGTCAAAGGATTGTCAACAACTACTCTCAAAATATACCTCTACTCCTTCCCATAGTTTCTCGAGCTTGCTGTTCCGCATTCTGAGCACATTAAGATGTTCAGCACGAAAGCTAGCTGGCAAACTTCGCATTGGATATCCATCCCAACAGAGTAACTTGAGCTTTGGGGGAAAATAGCTGAGGCCTCCTGGTAAGTGCAATCTGACTTGGTTATGCAAGTCCAATGAGTCCTCATAGATTCTAAGAAAACGTAGATTACGCATCCTTTTGAAGGCCCTTTTATCTATGTGCAACTTATCAAACTCTGCTAGACTCAATGATAAACCCAAAACCTTCTTAGCACCCTGAAAGAAAAAAATCGAAGAGATAATCATTATCTTAATTAACAAGCAGTTACAATTTCTCGTTAACATAGTATCAAATGAGTAATCAAAGGAGCACTTACAGAGGTATCATTAAATACATCGCCAATATCCTTAGAATCCACCAGGAATTCCCGTTCTCTGGGCTTGTTGGACTGTGTACGGATGATTTCCTTACCCATTTCTTGTACCAAACAATGTATATGTACAGTACTCCCTCTTTCATGTATGAGGGAGTTATCAATTAAGTTTTTAAGCCCGATATTAACTTCCAAGTCACTATCCGCAAGTAACAGCTTGATGTCATTGGCTTCCATACCATTGAAAAGACATGCAATGTGACAAAATATTGCTTTATCTTCTTTGCTACCTAACCCGTCATAGCTAACTCTAAGTGCTTTCTCAATTTTCCCGTAGGGTCCTTTCCGAAGCCTAGGCAACATATCCAACCAATCCTCTATGTCCCTCCCCCGCAAATACAACCCAAAAACGTTAAGAGCCAAAGGAAGATTACCCGCACCTTTTGTGACTTCAGAAGCAAGCTCTGCAAACCCCTCACGTGGAGAGTTTTGCCTGAAAGCATATTGGCAAAACATCTCTAGAGCTAGTTTATGAGAAGGGGGACCGACCTTATAAATACGATCAATCCCATGAGCTCTTAGAAGATGCTTATCTTTTGTAATCACAAGGATCCTGCTCCCACATCCAAACCATTGAGTTCCACCGACCAAGGCATCTAGCACTATTTGATCATCCAAATCATCAAGTACTATAAGAACTTTCTTGTGCTTTAGCCTCTCTCCCACCGCGCCTAAATGATGTACCTTTATATCCTTTTTATTTAAAATCTCAGAGAGGAAATTTTCTTGCAAATGGAGCTTCATGTTGTAGTCGTCAGGATTGGCTCCCCTAAAAATTTCCATAGTCTTAGATACAAAAGCCCTGTCTATGAAAACGCTGCTTTGGAAGTGACGAGAGATTCTAATAAAAAGAGCTCTTGCAATGGTAGTCTTTCCAATTCCTGAAGGACCCCATAACCCAACCATCCTCACTTGCTCGGATTCCAAGCACAACAACAGACTCATCTTGGCCAGATGATCTTCGATTCCAACAAAGTCAAGAAACTCCATTGACGGTGTTACATTATTAAGTTTACCCAAAACATCATTGGCGATTTCTTCAATCAAGTGTGCTTCGTTATACCTAGTAAAGAAAAAGATGATGAGAAAAAAGACCACCTTCAACAAGGATCAATGAACGATCATACCAGTTCTCAGAATGATATCCATGGATATTAGCTACATCCGTCAAAGCCCTTCTCCACTGAATTTGCAACTCATCTGTTTTGCTCTCGCAAATCATTTCAAACGCCTTTCCAAAGTCGCCAGTCTGTTTCCTGACATGAGAAGGGTCTAAAGCGTAGAAGATTGGTATCACCATTTGACCTTTCTCTTCCTTGCATTTCACGATCTCCAGCAATTCGTTCAAACACCAGCTTGAAGAGGCGTATATTTTCGAGAAGACGACGATCGCGATCCTTGAACCCCTAATCGCATGTACAAGCTCCAGGCCTATCGACTGGCTTCTCTGGATCTCACTGTCTTTGAAACAAGTGATTAATTTGCGATCCAATGCCAAGAGAAGGTGACTGAGGAATGTTCTTCGGACATCTTCTCCGCTAAAACTCGGGAAGACATCGAACACCCAAACGCAAGAGGAAGTAGCCATCAAGATTTACCAAAAGATCAACGGAAAACTGAGATTTTGAGACAACAACCATCAGCGAGTATGGAGCTCATTGTGTTTGGTCTTTGCACCGGGAGGCCCCATTGACTGGGACTTGCACAAACAAAATATCTTCCGTTACTTATTTTGACTCCATTAAAAAGGAAAAATACAATTTACGATTTAGCCATTTCTCCTCGATTCATACACCACTGTGATTGAATCATGCAGCATCCTTGATAAACAGAAAAAATAAATCGTTAACACTTTTTTCAAAGTACACCAAAATCGATGAAGTTATTACATGTTCAAAGAATATGTTCGGCTCGGATCCTACTGATTTTTAAATTTATTTATGATTGAATAATTTTTGCTAACACTTTTTCGAAAACAAAATCGAACTAGATTTCAATTCCAATTTGCTTCCCACATTCCTCAGGTTAGAAGAAACTTGCGAATTCGAACAAAATCTCACCTACATTATACATCAACCTTGATCTAGCTAAAAGAAAGAATAAGAAAAAAGACGTCAATTTTTGATCACCCTCTTCTTGATCTCAGAAACATGGCTTTGTCAATCAACCTCACTAGACGGTTTCAAAACGCAGAACCAGAGTTCTTGGTTTTGCCAAGCATCATGTCTTTGGCTTCATTGATCTTAGACGCAAGGTAATGGCTTCCTCCTGCATCTGGATGATTTGCCACCATCACTCTCCGGTGAGCTTCCTTCACCTTCTCTGCCGCTACACTCTCCCTGTTCAAACACCATAAGTGGCAAACTCATCAAGCTACAATAATGCCGCAAAAACCGCCACTAAATCATAAGCAAACCATTGTATAAGAACATAGTTATGCATAAAGAAACTGAATATAAATAACTTGGCCCCTAGTGCAGACTTATTAAGAACTACTGTGGCATACCTACTGCCTATAAATGAACATTTACCAATCAGGGACCTGAGAAAACTGTAAATGGTTACTTCCAATTCTACCGAAACTGAAGGATTCAGAAAGAATCTCCCCTATGACTAGCCGGAGATCAACAGAGGACTAGTGTGGGAAACCATACTGCTTATTTCTGATCAATTACACAACGGGCACCGAACGTGAACCAGTAATGGTTCCTTTCTATTCTACCAAAAGCGAAAGGAGCAGTACAGGTCTTTGCAAAACTAGCAGAAGAGAAACCTTATTTAAGAACAAAAGTGGCAAGATCACTAGTATCGTTTGTAGTGAGGGGCTAAAGACAGAAAGAAAGGTACCTAACACCGAGAATTAGAGCAGCTTCTCTCCGATTCATAGTAGCTTGGAAACCACCTTCATAGAATTTTCGCATTCTAGGCCTAACTGGTCTCAGCTTAAACGCTTGCCATGCCTCTAATCCATATTTACCAGCATAAGCAGCAGCAGCAACAGCAGCGCCTGCAAGTATCGCTGCAACCTGAAGAATAGACGAGAAGAGAAGAATCTTATTCAATAAACCACAAACTGAGACAAGATGAAACAGAGTTAAACCCTGGAAGAAACATTCTGATACTGACACAAACCCCAAACACAACAGAGCAAAAATAGAAGCAGAAGCTCTAAAAAAGGAGGATTCTTTTTAGAAACCCTAATCGAATCAAAGGGATGCTTTGAGATATCATCAAATTCTTTTCATAAAATCAATCAGCAATAACAGTAAAGAGTGGAAATTGTAGAGATACCCTAAAGAAGAAGAAGAAGAGATGCACGCAAAGTTACCATTGTTGTAGAGGGATTGGGCAAGAGCACAGTGTACTGAAAAGAAACACGATCTGATAGAGAGATAGGAAACAACTGTTCGATTTTGTCGATCGATTTGAGGATTAGGGTTTTAGCTATTTCCTGGTTTGCTTGGACTTGGCCCAGATAGGTCGGTTCGGTTGCGTTGCGTAAACAGTAGTCGAAACCTTCTAACTCCTTTAGCGCGTTTAAGATTTCTTTCGATTATGGGAAAAAAAACAGAACCGGTTTCTTTTCTCTTGGTTTCGGTTCTCAAATCAATAATTTTTAATTGAGAGTTGATAATGAAAAAGTTAAAAGTTGGCAACGTCAACGAAATATGCGTTTCACTGCCAACAAGATCATAATGACACAGAGAGTTCTTGAAGTTGTAAGTATTATTCTAGTAATAAACGATAGAGAGACTTACACTGCACAAATGAATCATCGTAACACTTTCTTGTAACCAACATTGCTTATAGCTGATACACAATCTCATAACTCCATATCCATGGCGACAAAAAATCATATAATGATGAATTATTTATACCTCGGTTGGTCACGGCGTTCTCTCTGCTTTGAGAGCGCCTTTTTCCACCTTTGGTGGGGCTGAGGATCGTCTGGGTTTGGGTGCAGGTGAAGCCGAGGTGGAGAGCCGTTTCTTTGCTGGTGCTTTCTCCGGTAATACACTGTTTTCCTCCGTTGTGGTTGTGGTCACCGCTGCACGTGATGAGCTCTGGGGCTTGGGCTTGCCTCGTACTGGTTTTGTGGTGGGAATCAGATGGTTACTACGTTTAGCTGTTGAGCTAGTCAGGGTCTCGTCATCACTAACTGATGACCTTGCAGTGCTGTGCCTACGGTTCTTCTCCGAGCTCTTGGCCTCATCATCACTGGTTTTGGATTTTATGGGCGATGGAATTGGCCTCTTCTTTCTCGGGTTTCTGGTGGCAGTGGATGATGATGATGGGGTATTGGATTGAGTCGAGATATTGAGTTTGTTGCGGTTCAAAGATTTTGCGGTTTCTCCTCCATGGGAATTACGGTTAGTCGAGTTCTTGACCGAGGAGTTTTCGTTGTTGTTGTTGTTGGTTGTGTTTTGTTCTTTCTCTGAACTCTCCCATGGCCGGCCAGCCATCCACCTCTCTAACCAGCTCCAACCCCAAGTCGGGTTGCTGGGATCCATGAACATCGGATTTGCAGTTTTCGAGTTGCTCTTCAAATTTTGCTGCAAAGATGAGTCGGATATAATCATAAGCATTAAACCAAATCCAATGATGTTAGCTAGAGTTGTGTAGATATCAAACTTCAGGCCTCAGGAATTTTAAGCAGCATTTAAGGACTACTTTGTCAACAAGTTCAGCTATTCAGGTTCATGCAAGTTTCTATGCGATTATGCAGATAATTTAAGTTGGGTACCCGTGGAAGTACCTGATGTGTGAATGCATATGCCAATGCCCTTTCCCTTCTCATTGTCGCCTCGTACTTGTGCAACATACCCGCTTCAACCTGTTCCTTCGACTGATTGCTGTCGTTCCAATTACCCCCATTCTGCAGAAGAAAGAGCTAGTCTTAGGAATAAACAAAAAAGATCACAAGCTACTGCATTATCAGATTCCAACAGAAGAGACAACGAAGAGATGATAAATTAAGACAAACGCATGAAAAGCCACAGGTCAGTAGAGAACGAATTTAAGCAAGGGTAATGCAGAGTAGAATGTTACCATCACTCAACCAATTTAGGCAGTTTAAAGGGAATTTTTTTTTTTTTTAAAGGAATTTAGTAACTGAAAATCGCATCTGAGATAAACAAGAGAGTAAGAAAGTGAGACCTTTAAGCCTCCTAGCTCTTTGGCATGCTTCTGAAGAAGTTGCTTATGTCGAGCCTGATTCTCTTCTGACATCCTGATTCTTCTAGATCTGATTTGTGACTGTACACGAGAGAGGGTCTGCATACATTTCAGAGTAATTGCAGCTTGCCGTTGTACAACCGATCCTTCCATCAGTAGCTTAAGTCTTGCCTGCCCCCTCATTACACAAGAAAGACTTAAAGAAAGAAAACCTTTTTTCTCACATTGTATCTCAAAGAAAGAAAAAATCAACCAAAACACATTGTATCTCAAAGATTAGAAAAAATCAACCAAATCTCAGACAGATTAATGCATGATTGACTACGCACACAAGTTCTGATCAAGCCACAACATACCAAATTGCCCCTAAACGTAGACTGAATTAAGATGGCAGCTGCATCTTCCTTTGACTTGCCTGCAAACCTATCATCAACTATAGCTTGATGAACAGATTCAGGAGAAGATGGAGGTGAATCTACAAGAACATGTGCAACAGTAGGAGTCACAGAAACTGAAGAAGGAGGACACAGATTCTTCTTCTGTTCATAGTTGACCTCATCAACTCTAACTTCAAACTGAGGAGGAGAACTTCTGGATGTGGCAATCAAGACAGGGTAAGAGATTACACTATCTTGACACTCAACAGATTCATGTTTCAACTTCTGTAAGAAAAAACATCAAATATAAATAGGATTTGATATGGCACCAAAACATGAATTATAACATCAATATATGAAGCAGTGACTATGAACAATTCAGAAAGTTGGTACCTTTGAATCTGGGCTAAAAGCCTTCTTAACGTTCTTGAGCCATTTCGCCTTTTTAACCATCTCGTTACCGGTTCTATGTTTGATCCTCCTACTCAGATGAAAAATGTTGATTAAGATGATAAAGACATTCCAAAATCACTGATTGCAACAGATTCTTTGATCTCACGAATCTAGTAGCTAAATTCTTTGATTAAACCCAAAAGTCAGAACAATTAGATTGAATTGCTAGGACTCTTCTATATAGCCTGGAAACGGGAGAAGAAGAGGAATCGAACCTGTAGAAGCAGATCTAGAACAAGAAGAAGAAGAAGAAGAAGAAGAGAAACTCGAAACTCAACTTTAAACCATCAAAAACACGCCTTTAGAGTTCCTTGTAATGCCAATGTGAGACTTTCTTGGAAATAAGAATTTGAATGGGTCGAAGTTTTGATCTTTGCTGACTTGAGGAGAACTCAGAGAGAGAGAGACAAGGAATTTGGAGCAGAGAGAGTATTTGTCTCTGTGTGTGAGCCCACTAATTGGGCTGCTTTCTCTGTGGGCCCTACTTTGATTTCCTCTTTTAACAGCTTGGCGCTTTTTTTTCTTTTCCTTCAACGACTTTTTAGATTTAACAGCTTCTGCAGCTAATGAGATTAATATTTTTTTATTTCTTAGTGATTCTAAATTGCTCATTTCACTGTTGCTACTCATATTAAAATTTTCCCTTTAAATCATTATTGAATAGCTGACAATATAAGCCTAACATTTTGTAAATTAGATCAATCTTTGTTTTTTTTAGAACTTCTAAAACACTATATAATATGGGAAGTGGAACGTACGAGTTCACTCAAGATTTCAATATTTGTTTTTAATTAGTATATAAAAGAGCGTGTATCTACACCATGATTGTTTTTCTAATTAATATACCTTAATCGATGTGGTCGTTGTGGTATGCTTCAATATATAATTACTTAGAAATATTAATAATGTGCATAAACTTATTTATTTATATGAGTTATGTAAATCATAAGCATCGTTTTGTATATTATAGACTTATAGAGTTATAGTTAGTATTAGTAACGTCAAAATGGTATTTATTATCTAGAAAAGACATTTACCTAATGCACACGTCTTGTGTTTTGTTATTTGAGATCATTATCTCTCTCCGTCGGTCCAATCTATTTTTATTTTTTGGTTTCTTATGAACAACTGACATTAGATGGGGATGTGCCTTTGGTCAAGTGGTTAACTCCACTTGACTCCGCCTTCTTCATCGAAGTTCGATTCCACTGAATCGCGTTAATCTGCGTAGTAAGAATTGGTTATGGATCGGGGCTTGTCATTTGTCTATCCAAAGATGTTTAAAAAAAAAAAAACAACTGATATTAGATTGTCAACAATGGGCCACAACGGGTATTAGATTGTTTGATAGATAGTCCCAAAATTTGTAAAACTGGGGAAAATATGTATTCAATTGTTTTGTTTTTCTCTCTTTAGTCTTAACTTAAGCTAATATTGGCTGTCATCATTTCATTACTTTAACAAAGAAAATAATTGAGACTCTTTAATCCCAATAATGATTTGGATTTTGGAATGATGCCCCAGCCCAGCCAAGCAAGAAATTAAGGATCCATTTCAGAGAAAACCGGTTTGATTAAACCAAACCCAAATAATATAGCTATTAAAATTATACCAAACCAAAACTTATGGTATATTGTATGTATCTTAAGAAATCATTGAATCTGAGAATACATCAAAATGAAAAACCTTGAAGTCTCAAAATCGGATAGTAACTAGTTTAGAATCTAATTTAGTACATATATGTATTTTGTAGTACGATCCAAGTGACAACTACGTTCGATTCTAGCCACATACTGTAAAGTGTTTGGGTCCGAAAGACCAAGACTAATTCATCAATGTAACAACAACAAGATAAGGAGAACACAAAATTTGAAGTTACACATCTTTATCGTTTTTATCGGCTTTTGGTTGAGTAGATATAGAATCACGTCTCGGCCTATGCTTCCTCCACTTCTTCTTCTTCAAAGACATGATCCACGACGGAACCTCACAGCCTGATGACATCATCATGTTGGCTATGTTCCTAAGGAAAGGTACATCTTGTTCCGTGTAGAAAGTTATCGCTTCTCCGCTCCTTCCCGCTCTCCCAGACCGACCTGAAATGTTTTAAAAGAAGCCAAATGATGCATCAACTCATCATCACAAATGACTCGCATAGAACAGAGAATATAAGATTTAGATACAAAGGCTCGAGTAATTATATACATACCAATCCTGTGGATGTATGCAGAAGCTGAATCTGGGAAATCATAGTTTATCACGCAGTTGATGCCTTTGAAATCCATACCTCTAGCAATCACATCAGTAGCTATCAAAACCCATTTTTCGCCCGCTCTGAATTGATCAACTGCGTTTTCCCGCTGCAGCATCCAACGGTAAATTGTTTCCAATCAATTTATATATATCTATATCTCGATACTTTCCATAGAGGAGCAAACTTTATTTGATGACTATGGGAAAGATGGTTTTACCTCTCCCGGAGGGAGATCGGAATGGATGACCCCGGCTCTGATGTTTTCACATTTCAGTTCATCATAGAGTTCCTTTGCTCGTTCTTTGCTTTGTACAAAGATCAGTACCGGTGGATTAAGACTCTACTGCCAAGTAAAAAAGGAATTACAAAAGGTACTGTACTTGATCATACTGTTAAGATAAGTGAACTTACCTCTGCAAAGCTTTGGCGAAGAGCAAGAAGTTTCCCTTCTTCAGTTCCAGCAAAAACCAGCTTTTGCTTGACGGTTTCAGACGCTGTGTTCCTATATCGAATAGTCAAAGGTAAGATCCTTTTACTTCAAGAAATGTTGTGAAGTATCTATAATAAGCTTCAGTATCATACTATCATGTTCTCTATACTCACTTTCGGCCAATGATCACACGAACAGCATCATGCATTATGGAACGTGCAAGTTCCTCAACAGAATCGGGCAAAGTAGCACTGAACAATGAACGTATGATCGAAGGGTTTGAACAAGCCTTAACCACACAATCTATCTGCTTTAACAAGCTCTGCTCAAACAGCTTGTCAGATTCATCAAGGACAAGGTACTCAACCCTGTATTCAACAGATATAAAGATGAATATGGGCACAATACAAATAGAAATACACATGTTTATATTCTAATATATGCTACTGACTTACTTGCTTAAGTCAATCTTTTTAGCCTTGATTGCTCTTTTCAGCCGCATCGGCGTTGATATGAGAACATCACACCGCAGCTTTGAGAAGTCAGCTGTTTTGACAAGAGGTTTAGTCATCAATCTAATGTGGAAGTTGCTTCCTTTAATAAGTTTCTTTCCTTCTCTAGCTGTTTGGGCAGCCAGTTCCCGAGCAGGAGAAAGGATAACTGCTCTTATTCCATCTGTTGAAGGGTGCTAAGACAGCAAAACAAAACTCATAAGCATGAATGCATGATTCAAGAATCAGGATACGCGAAATCCGGAGGGATTTAAGGGCAAACACAATTTATCACCTTGAGTTTTATAAGCATGGGACAAATAAAAGCAACGGTTTTTCCTGACCCAGTCGGAGCACAGGCAAAGCATTCACGACCCTGGGATAAAGCAAAAAGATGACAAAACTAAAAATTAGAACTGATACAGTGATACCTCATGAAAGAATTCACAAAATAATCTGAAAAAAGAAGTTTTTTCTTTGCTCTTAAGTGTCTCTGAATGAATGGAAAATGAGTGAATAAGACCATACCGATAGGAGAATTGGAATAGCCTGTCTTTGGATGGGGGTAGGCTCTTTAAATCCTAGTTCAGCCAAATTGCCTAATATATATCCTTCACAGCCATACCTGTAGATGGATTAAGCATTAAGATCAAAAGCCAGAGGAGAGGAAGATTTAAACACATTACAGCATGTCAATAGACTCAACGTCCATGAAAAAAAACAACTACATACCCAAACTTCAAAACCACTAATACTACGAGCATAATATCAAACTACTGTAAAGAAAAAATCCAGTTCCACGCACCTTGATGATAACTCTGCAAAGCTTTTAAGCGGAGGTGGAATATTGTTACCGGAAACATGAATGTTATACTGTTTCCTCGACAAAGCATCTCGCTGCCATTATAAAAGAGTAAACACATGTCATGTATCTGTCACTCTTGCCTTTGATGAAACAGAGACAAGACTTAAAACAACTCCAATACCTCTATTTGACGATTAAGTTCCTTCTTGGGATCTTCTAAAATATCATTCTTTGTGTTTCCTTCTTCTGCTTTACCTTTAGCAAGTGCCTTCTTTGAGCTCTTGAACACATCAAATCCTTCAACTGGCACTATTTAAACATAACGAAAATCAGATCAAGAAGACACAGTTAGCACAGACCTGAGGGAAACAGTAATTATATTTCCAGACTTACCGGAATTAGAAGATCTTCGTTTCCTCTTCTTAGAGAACACAACAACTTTCTCCTTCTGCTCTTCAGTGTCCTCTTCTTCCACAAAGAAGTTCACTTTCTTATTGGAATCATCATCCTCCGTACAATTCTAACACCGCAATGAGAAGTTTTTAATATAAGAACTAAGAGTGAGAGTGAGTAGTGCTGATTTAAATACCATTAACACGATCAGCTGCAGAACTAACCTTAAACTTAGCAAAATCTGGAGCAAACTTCTTCTTATTGAAGTTTGTTCCACCAAACAAAAAATAGGAGCTTTTCTCCATCTGCCAAGCAACCATAAAACTCTCAATACAAGGCAATGGAATCATATTAACAAAGAACATTCGATTCCAGTAGACAAGTGGGACAAAACCAAAGACAAGGACACAGCAGTAGAGAAAATTACCCAGAGAAGATGTTACAGATACCTAGATAGAGACAGAGAGCGTTTCTGGGGAAGAGGAAAAGGCAGCAATAATAGTAACACTGGTAACGAAAAAAAAGAACGCCGGCGATGACACTGACGACGGCGAATAGATGCCGAGGAAGAAGCGAACAACTGCACAGATTTTGGGTTTTACATTTAGGGTTTGGTTTTTTAGTTGATTTCAAATAATTTAAAGGGTATTTTAGTCATTTTAAATTCTGAGCGCTGATTAAAATTTCGAGTCGCTAAAACAAAACAGCATTACAAATTAAAAGGCCAACACTGAACAAGTGGGCCTGAAAAAGCCCAGCTAAAACAATAAGCCTTAACTAGACTGATAGGTTTGGTAAGAAAAACAATAAATTTGGAAATTGTGTGTAATAGCGGGAAACATGTGATGGTGTGACCCACCGCCGCTGAAAAACAAAAAAAATCTCACTTCTTCTTCTTTTCTCTCTGTCTCTGACACATCGGGACTTTCTCCGACTCTGTTTTCGTCGGATTCAAAACACTTCAGACTTAACTCTACTTCTTCTTCTTCTCTAATTCTCTCGCTCTTTGCTTCTCTGTTTGAATTTTGATTTACCGTTTACGAATTGTTAGAGATGTGGCAAGTTCTTCTAGGAGCAGCCATTGCTGGATCCACTGGTTTAGTAGCCAAACGGTTCTTCAACCCTTTCTCTCGAGATTCTCCTACTCTCGAGGATTACACTGAAGAGCAGGAACCCATCGCTCCTCCTGTAAGTATTGGATTTCTCGATTCTCCTTTCGACAAAACCAATGGCGTTTTCCGGTTTTCTAGTTCCGGGTCTACCGTTAACTCTGGATCCGGATCCGGGTCTTCTCCTGGGTTTAGGAAGAGTTCAGGGGTGAAATGTAGAGTTAGGGTTCGTGGATTGATGAAGAAGAAGAAAAAGATTAGTGAGGGATGTGAGATCGAGAAGCGTGAGGTTTGCTCGAAAAAGACGAAAACTTTGGGTGCTGCTTCTGCTTCAAAACGCGGGTCGTCTTATAGTAATCAAGGTTTTGCTTCTACTCTTTCGAAAACTCTGATTGATTTCTTCTGTGATTCTCGGTTTACAAATGAAGTAGGAATGAAATCTCGGTTGATGAAGACGCATGAAGCTTCAGCAATATCTGTAGTGGGATTATTATCACTTGCATGATTGGAAATTTGAATCTTAATTAGTTTTTGGAGTGTTCTGAACTTGTCTTATTTGATGATTGATCCATGTGCAGAGTTTTTCTGGGTTTTCGACCTTGTGGTATAGAATGATATATAGTGGCGTTAATCTTGGGGAAAAGCTTTCAGGGTACTGTTAGGTTTTGCTTCCTAAACTTCTTGAGATTTGCAGTGATATTAGTACTCTTCGATGGGTAAATCTTCAGACTTCTAGATTTTGCAGGAGTGCAAGAGACTTTGTTGAAAGGCTTCACTTATTGCCTAGGCTTCCATAGAGTAGAATAAGCCTTAATTTATGAGTTTTCCAAGTGCTAATTCGCCAACTTCATCTATTAAGTCCCCACAAATACTTGAGATGTTGTCAATGTCATTGTGTCTAACTGCTTTGAGGTTTGATTGTACCTTGTTGGAACTTTTTCAGTAAAACAATGACTCATCACATTCCTCTTGGCATTGTCCATTATTGACGCATCATTCTTCTGTGTTTCAGATCATTCCTCTTTCAGCTCAGCACTTGGTGTCTGCATGATGTATATGATGTCAGCAGAGAAAAGTGAAATCAGTAAGCTGCATGCAGCAACAGAAGAAACTGCCAAAGTCATCCAAGAGCTAAAAGATGAACTTTCTAGGATAAAATCTTTACAGAGTTTCAAGTTTGCAGCAACAGCAAGTTCTGAGAAATCTGGCCAGATAAATCTCAGTAGATCAGAGATGGCGAGTAGAGAATGTCTCGATATCATCAAGGCAGGCAATGATGGAGAATATGCTAGCAGCGTCCTAACTGAGGAGCCAGAACAAGAGGCAGTAGAAATGGAGCAATTAGAGATGGAACTTGAATCTGAGCTGCAGAAATTGAACTTGGCTGAGGTGAGTGTGCTTTTATCGTTTTCCCATTGACATGTATTCTTAGAGTCTCCTCTCAAATCTTATTAAAGGTTAAATCCATCTGGATTGTTTTCCCAACAGTCATTATGTTGTTGGTGGGTTCAATGGCTGAAGCTTATATTAAACATTTATTTTATTTTTCCCTTAGACAAGTGATGTTATGGAGGAATGCAAGGATTTGGTTAATGGAGCTGAGTCATACCAATGTGGTGGAATATCGGCATCAGAGCTGGACAAGAAACTAAGCCACCTTCTCATCGAACAACAAGAAGGACAGATCAATGAACTTGAAGCTGAACTGCAAACTACTCAGTCCAAACTCCAAGAGAAGGAAGCTGAGCTTCAAGCACTTAAGGTCTGCGTTAGACGCCTAACAGAGTTTCCTCTCTTGGACCGTTCAGGTACACTTGAAATCTCACTATGAATTTATGCAAAGACGAGCAGTCTCTCACAGCGTAAAACATTTCTGATGTTTCTACAGATGATGAGCATGAAGAGGACCTGAACCAGGATCTCTCAGTCTCATGGAGTCAACATAACAAAACTGATAATGAGGTAAGAAAGCCGATCGTTGGGATGAAAAGGCCTATGGAGTCATGTATCCATGCTTAAAAAACTTTACATAATCCTTAATTATTCCGAAAAGCTACATAGTAAGTTCTTTCATAGACTTCATCTGCAACACCAAAATGATCCAAATCTCTGAAGGTTCGTATCATCAAATCAGGCCAAGGTGGTGGTGTATGCAATCAAACTAGACTTGACCCAGTAGATTAGTTATTCTTGTATATTCACCAGAAGAATCCAAGACCATCAGAAATCATCAGTCCTGACTTGTCTAGAGATTTAGATTGCTAGGTTTAGTAGAAGAGCTAATGATTATGAATTTTGTGAACTTCAAAAATTCTTTTGTTAGTGTGTGTGCTTGTGCAGGTCAATGTTGGCTTTGTTGACTTTTCTGATCAATTACAAAAAAAAAAACAATCAGTTCCATTTTTTTTTTCTAATGATCTGGATTATGAAACTCTGCTACTCTTCCATTTAACTTGAATATCTTGACATTAATGTTAAACCTCGTATTTAGTTTAATAAGGGTAACAGATTTATGAAATTTAGAGATATTTTGAACAACAGAAACTTATTTCAAATGAGCCATGAAATTATCTCAGCAAAGCTTATAGATTGTCAACTCAAGAAAATATCATGCTACATCGAAAACATTAAAAACTAAAGAGTAAAAGAGTCATATAATTTCTAGTCCAACAAAGTGCTTATCATCGAAGGCTAATCCTGACTACTTATAGCAAAAGCTACTCGCCAGGAACTTGGACGCCTTGCTTCATCTTCTCTTTCTTCATCTTCTTCTTAGAAACCGGTTTCTTCTTCCTCGGAGGTAAATTCTTCTGTGCGTATGTGTAAAGGATGAAGTTTCCTACAAGGAATGTCACAAGCAACCCTCCAATTACAAGAAGGACAATCAGTCCCGGGTTTAGCCCTTTGCTTTCGATTTTTCCCTGTTCATTGTTTTGGTTTAGTAACTTAGAATGAAATCTAGATGCAAGAAGTAACAAGAAGATTGAGAGGACAGAACACAAGGTATCTTAACTAGCTTCTCAATGTTATTGGCAATTCACCTCTAACCAATAAGAAAATATAATGCCGAAAAAAAAGTTATATTCTTATACAGCCAAGAGTCTGATAAGCACGAAAATCATGAAACCAATACATGTTTAATCGCGAGTTATAGACTTATAGTATCTAGACTTATACAATCTGGAAATGTAAAACCATATTCTGAGACAACCAAAAATGGACATTCCATGGCAAGCTTGATCAAAATGAGAAGAGATGAAGTTCATGTTCAGTGACCAAAGTTTTCAACAATAACTCAAAAGGCATGAAATGAAACTCTAAAGAAAAAACAAAACTTTACCGATCCAATTGTGCTATGTCCTAACGCATACTAAATTTCAGAGAATTTGATCATTGTTAAGCAGCGTTACAACAATCATACACGTATTGACCAAAATGCTCGAACATAAACAAAAAAGCTCGCAATCTCAAATCTAAAACCGGAACATCATGCATCAAAATCAGAACATCAGACTCAAAGCAACACAGCTGATTACGAGACACGCGTGAAAGAGTAGCATACGATTATATGAAAGCAGAATTGAGACAGAGTCAAACGCAGATCTAGCGATTCATCGTGAGTAACGAGAAATTTGATCTCAGACAAGGAAACACATGTAGACAAAGAGATTTTCAGAGAGGGGACAGAACTTACATCAAATTCTTCGGCCATGGCGGCGCTTCGGAGCTACGAGATTATCAGCACCACTCGCCGGAGAATATATAAGACAGCTTGAAGACGAGTTTTGCCAAGAAACTATTAAGACTCAGCCTTTTACATATAAGTAACAGCACGTTTGGTCAAGGGGCTTACTATGCAAATTTTAAAATAAAGACAAAACTTTTACTTCTATCTTCGATTTTGGCATGCATTTTACTTGTAGTACCAACCAACCCCGCTTAACAAACAAATGTGTATTCTGAAATTTATTTTCCAACTTCTTTTAACTCAATATATAAAATTCTTATATTGTCCTTTCTAAATTTTATTTCTATCTGTTATAAAAGTCATGAAAAGGAGGAATCGTAAAGTCGCAAAAGATGCGCACATAGGTTAAACGTTTCGTTATTTATTAATTTATGTGGAGCCCACCGTCACTATGCATGCATAGTAACTTACTTTTTCCTGCCTATATAAACGAACGAATTCGTTCGTTGTAAATCACAATTCATACTTCAACAATAAGAAGTTATAAGAAATCTCTCTCCTCCTCTCATCTCTTTATTTTCAGTATCCCGATCCTTCTGCGGGTATAAATTCTTTCTCCATTAAATATATTTATATACACCATAAAATAAAGTAATTATTATAACATGTTATCAGCACGATCACTCTATGATCGCTGAAAAAAAAAAATACGGTATTATACCGGGCAGTATGTCGCCTCGTTAAAAGAAAAAATATAAGAAAAAAAAAAAAGGGAGAAAAGAAAATTATATAAATAAATAAAAGAAACTATATGGTTGGCTGAGCC